ATATATAGAATATATAGATATACATATATATAATATATATATATATATATAAATATATTTTATATATATACGATAATCCTAAAGTTAAAATTCCAAGATATTTGTCAACCCCCTAGTGTGGGATTGCAAACATGTACATAATATTTAAAATTACACAATCATAGCAGAAATTAGAAAACAATTGTTAAATAACCATCGCTTGATCGAGCATACATACCGACTGCACACTGATTACCTATTATTTTCTGGGGAAGAAAACCTCGAGGTGTTAGCCCTGAACGCTAAAGTGGGTGAATAACTGTGTAAGTAGACAGTTGCCCATACAAAGCCTCGTGCACGCATAGCGGCGATAGCTGCCTCTTGAACGCAATCATCGTAATCTCGCAGGATCGCCAGTACAAATACAAACACACCTGTCAGGCATACCTAATGTGTACAAATATTTCACACAAAAATCATCCTATGTAGGGTTTACAAAAAACCAGAAACCCTATCAACCCCCTTAATGGGTTGTATTTATTTACGTTTGTATTTATGTACGCGAGGCTATGATATTTTCCTTTTTATGTAGAAGTTGCCTTAGATATACACGCCCACTACGCTATGCTCTGGTTACAAGTACACTTTATGTTTTAGGTCTCTTGCCTTTCATATAGTCCGTGGACTCTAGCAGACGGCATTAAGCGTAACCTGCTATACAATAAATTGTAGTCATGACATAGGCACACCCTACCTATCCTTGACTGTACAATTTGTATCGTATGTGTTGTCCAAGAACCGAATTGCGTCCAACTCAAAAATATGCGTGTTCGTGCAGTAACAAACAGTAGTCACGTAAAGGATTTATTATGGATACATATGTGTGAAAGAAACCACGTTCATAGTATGAGGATAGTATCGATGCAGTACCTAGCTACGCAGGCTCATTCCACCTCTTCTTCAGCAAGGCGTCTTTTGCTACGATGCCTAGAACCTAGTACTCAGCGATATTGATGCAGTCGATATGATTATTTACGAACTGTTCTCAGCCACTATCTGTAATGCAATATACTAATCGTAACTCAACGTGATAAAGTCATCCCTAGGAATGTATTATGAAAAAGTGAAGCGACAACGAAAGCTGGGCTATGTATTTATCTATATATATATATTCAGTTACCAACGTACATACACACACACACACATATATTTATAGATATATATATATATATCTATATTTATATATATAATATATATATACACACACACACACACACACACACACAT